CCCCAAAACCCCAAAACCCCAAAACCCCAAAACCCCATTTTAGGATTGCCAAGTTGAGTCCAAATACTATGACGTAATTTTATACTTTTAGAAGCAGATTAAATCTTACTTTTGTATAAATATTTCCATTCTTTTGGTTTATCAAAGCAACCAGGTGTCTCCTTCACAGACTTCATGAACTCGTAGTAAGGCTTCATGGAAGATTTTCCAATAGATCCAAAGACTTTGTCACTCAAAGGAACAGCAAGAGTGAGGCCGATAATCTCTGGGCGTAACTGTTTGCAAAGAGTGATACAATGTTCCTTTATTTCATCTATCTGCTCCTTGCTAATGGACTCTCTAAATATTCCTTCAAACTTGATAATCTCGCTTAGGTATCCAAGAAGGCCTACTTTGGTCATAACCTCCTTCGACTTCGGAGAATTTTTAAATTTCTTGAGGAAGTGAAGGTAGGCCTCCATTGTGTACCTGCTCAAATAAATTTTTACCATCGGAATAAAGGTGTAGAAGAGATGCTTCTCCCATATTTCAGTCCTTGATAGTCTTTCTTCAGCCTCTTTCATAGAGTCAGCTTGGATCTTTGCTATCGACTCATGCACACACTTATTAGCATGATGAGTATACAATTTGAATAAGTCCTTCAGATTAAGGAAGGAACCTTCGAAAATGTAATCATCAGGAGAGTCTGGAGTAAGGAACTCACATGTCTTCATTGTCTTTTTTCCTCTAATCATATTAGCAAAGTTCTTCAATAAGATCTTGCAAGATTGTTGAATCAGAACAAAATTTTCTCCTTCCCAAGTCTGGTTGACATCAGCTGTATTCCCAAGTTCTGAAAAATGATTCAAAAATGAAAATCCAAATCCTCCGCAAGATAGCCTAGATTCTTTCCATGTTTCGTATGAGTTCCACGTCACAACCGCCTTTAAAGCACTTGAGACTAAGTGGAAATACTCTCCAGCTTTATTAGAAGGATCAAGAAGTTGATCTGACATTTTCGAATAATCATCCCAGATTCCTTGGATAGACACCATTTCAGTAAAGGATTTTGCGAATAGAGGCATAATTCTTGATTGATGAAGAGGGTAGTCAAGAATATGAGTTTCCTCTTTTCCTTTTTCTCGAGAAAATTGTCTCCTTCAAGCAGCAAAACGAAGAGCCGTTATTGTTGATATAAGGCTAATATCAGCACCATTACTAGCAGCAAGAACTCTTCCTCCACTAAGAGCTGCCATATGATAAGCAAATCGTTTGTTATCTTTAGGAATGGCAGAAACATACTCTCCTTCTTCATTGATATCACAAAATTTATTAAGAAGCATATCTTTATGTATTCTGTAATCTGCAAATTTGATCCACCCGTTGTCAACTCCTTGTAGTCCAAGTTTATCTCCACAATCTCCGATTAAGCAGCCTTCAAAGGATTCATGAGTTTCCTTATCTCTAACTGGGACGAGAAAGACATGAACTCCCTTTCACTCTCCGTTAAGAAAAAGCTGAGCGAATGTCACAAGCATTGAGCAAGTCTTTGCCAGGTTTCCGAGCCAAAACTTGATTGATGTATCAGTCGGAGAATTTAAAATAAAGGATCTAGTATCATGGTCGTAATGAGCAGTTGTCTCCACTGATTGAACATTGGATCCATGTCCAAGTTCAGTCATTCCGAATGCTCCGAGATCGGTCAAGTTTGCTGCCCTGTACAGATATTCTTTGTGTCTCTCAGTACCCAAATTTTTCAAACTTTTGGTATAAAGGAAGTAATGGACACCTACAATTTTGAGTTGAAAATCTTACTATATTTAGTTGACGTTGAAGCGTTAATACAACCTGTACCCATCAAACACCTTGTGAATTCATCTAAATTATCGATGATCCATTGCTCATTTATTCCTTCCTCTTCGTATAAGGCATTTATTGTGTTAATAGCGAGCTTATTGCTCTCTAATCTCAGAGTGTCCTTCTCCATCATGTGATGACCTGGTCCTCTAAAGCATGATCATAGGGGCTTTTAATTAAAAATATAGTTTAGAAGTATCTGAGATTTACATCTCATTGTGCTTTTATAGCAGAAAAAACCTTAATAGAATCTTCATTTATGATAAAAATCTTGTGGGAAGACCTGACTAGGTTAATTTAGATATTCTCTAGGGTTCCAATTTCTCGATATTCCCTACAATTTAAATAGAGTGTGTATCAAACTAGAAATTAAGTTTACCTTCCTTGGTATACTTTTTCGACAATGCTTTGAACTTTGTAAAATAGTTCTGGTCTTAGCTTCCTGATCTCAGTTGCTACCTTCTCAAAGTCAAAGGTAAACGTAGATGTTTCTCTCGTGTAATCCTCTGAAGGAGTCAAGTATGATTGCATAGGATTCAAGCTATTCAGTGTTTTCTCCATTAGATGTGACGTAATTTCTTGATAAAAATTTAAACTTAATCAATTTTGTTCTTAGAAAAAGGGGTTTTGGGGTTTTGGGGTTTTGGGGTTTTGGGGTTTTGGGG